ATTTGATACGCGTATCAAATGCACGATGTAAACTAGGCCAATATGTGCCGGAAAACAAAACAAAAATATCAAACTGTATCGTAAAAACTTCTCAAACGTGTTTTAAAATTTTATAAATGTATTATAATATTATACTGTAGATAAATATTTTTAGTTAAAATGTGTCACAAAAACAAAGTTTTATTGTCGTATTAATTGCGTTTCCAAATATAAAAAAATTCCAAGGAAAATTTATAATAATTCAACATTTATACGCAAACTAGGCAAGATGAAAGTTTTAAATGTTATATTAATGTAAAATATAAATAATTATTTAATTACGATTATAAAGTACATAATTGTACTTTCTCGGCGACGCGAACTTTAATTGTTATTATCGCGAGTAATGTACAAACACGAAGTGGGCGTTTACGAGAAAATGCTCCACAATTTTGACACGACGCGGCAATTTACCGCAAGTTGTTGCTTATCTTGGACAGAAAAAGAAAAAGAAACAACTGAGTCATCGCGCATTTAAAAGGCAAACGCGCTTGGCGCCCGCGCGAGACCCCGGGGGAAAATTCTAGAAAGAGAAAACGCGCTCGCGCGTGAGCTCTCGAGCGAGTCTTGGAGTGCAAGTGCACTCGGGGTGCAGCCGAAACTGCGTTCTAAAGTTGCCCGTGTCTTGCGCTTCGACGGTATTTTAAATCGCGCGTGGGCAATTCGTCCGAATTCCGAGTGGCAAAGTCGTCGATCGGCGGAAGAGGAAAAGTCTCGGCGCGGAGCGTAGAGAGCTCTCCGCGTTTGGCTCCGTTTCGCGTCTACCTTGCCGTGCATCGTTCGGGGCGCGAGAGGCGCGACCAGCGACAGCGGGAACAGCGGGAGCAGCGGGAGAGCCAGCGGGACGCGTCGCTGATTGGCGGCCGCGCGCTTCGTGTGACACTTGCGATTCGATGTCTGCCCTGTGGTGCGCCTTCGCCGTTGCAGCGTAGGTCATATGATTCTGTCAATCGGCCTCACGCGAAATTGACAAGTTGTCAGTGTGCGCAAATTGTCGTCCCGGCCAGCGATTGTCGGGTCACGTCTCGCGCATACGTGTACGTATGCGAGTGAGCGCGAACGGCGGTAAAGGCGTCAGTTAACAGCGTCGTGGCCCTACGTGCTTGGAGAAAATGTCACTTTTCGGAGTGGGCAATCCCTTTTCCACGCAAGTGGGACAAAAGATCGGTAAGTGCGCGCCTCCGCTCGTACGCGCCGCGTCGCGCCGCGGCACGCTATCGCCTCTGTCCCGCCTCACGTCCTCCGGGAGGAGACTTTCCCCCGCGATATCGGCGATGATCGATCGATCGACGACAATTTCCAACTACGTACTCGGCGTGGCACGCGCGATTTCACCTCTCGTACGGGTGGATTTGTTTAATTATCGACGACGACCGATGACGCATCGAACGCCGTGTAGCGAATGCCTCCGGTCACTTCAGAGCTCTCTCTCTCTCTGCTTTCAGAGTCTGCTACGGATGGTAGCTTACCCAGCGAGAACTGGACGCTTAACATGGAGATATGTGACATTATAAACGAAACCGAGGATGGGCCGAAAGACGCTATCAAAGCCATCAAGCGCAGACTCAATCAGGCGGCGGGCAAAAATTATACCATAGTCATGTATACGCTTACCGTTAGTATCTCGCTTGCTTCATTTAGTTGCGTCCAGTGTGTCGGAATGTATCCAGGTTCTTGCTCCGCCCCGATCTTCGCCAGACGTATCTTTGTAACGACAACGCGATAAGCAAGTGCCGTGTGGCAGTTTTGACCTTTGGACAATTTACACGATCGGTGTCAATTAGATTAGCAGTTCTGTATTATTATATTTATGACACACTTGTACGATGGTCTGCTCGATCTCAATTCCTGCGAATATACCGTAACGTAAATCTTATGCCAATCGATACAAGTTACCGAACGTACCTGTGCTTATTAATTTAATTGGTACAAATGGCTGCGCAATAACGTGTTATGTAACCGTTGATGTATCACAGGTGTTGGAGACATGTGTGAAGAATTGTGGAAAACGTTTTCACGCTCTCGCTTGCTCGAGAGAGTTTGTGCAGGATCTAGTGAAGCTAATCGGCCCCAAGAACGAGCCACCTACAGCGGTTCAAGAGAAAGTTTTAAGCTTAATCCAAACCTGGGCAGATACATTCCGTCATCAGCCGCACACTCAAGGTGTCGTGCAGGTTTATCAGGAATTAAAGATAAAGGGCATACAGTTCCCGATGACCGACCTGGATGCAATGGCACCAATTATCACGCCGGAAAGAGTAAGCTGCCCTCTTTAGGCGAGACTGCTATCCGTTTGATTCGTTTCACCTCTTAAAGTAATTTGCTTTTGCAGAGTGTACCTGAATCTGAGCAAATTCCGGCGACCCTCGCTACGAATGAGCAGCCCGCATCTTTGGGAACGCAGCACCTACCTTCTCAAACGCCACAGTCCGTTGGCCAGTTGACTCAATTAAGCGAACAGCAATTGGCCAAATTACAAAGTGAACTTGACGTCGTTCAAGGAAATATGCGCGTGCTGTCGGAAATGTTGGCGTACTTTACGAGTTCGGATCAAAGTTCCAAGCAACAGCCGGATTCTGCGGATCTTGAACTATTGAACGTAGGATCTGTCCGATAAATTGTTGATTCACAACATTTCTCCTGCGAATTTCAGCGTATAAATTCTACATTCTGAAATCCCAATGTGATTCTTTGCAGGAACTTCATTCCACGTGTAAGGCAATGCAGGAGCGTGTCGTCGATTTGATCGGTAAATTGGCCCACGACGAGATGACAGCGGAATTATTACGCATTAATGACGAATTGAACAATCTGTTTCTTCGTTACACGCGTTATACGAAGAATAAGATGCAAGTACCGGCGAGCGCTATATTGGCCCAGACGATTGCGCATCCACCGAATGCTGAAGCGACTCCAACTCGTGCTAAACGAGAAGCGGAATCGCTTATAGATTTATCCGACGACGTGGACAATTTAGCAAAGCGGATGAATGAACTCGGCAAGTCAAAGTTATATAAGGAGAGAACAAGCGTGGAATTGCACGCAATGAGATTAAATACTACTAAAGTTTTGGCAGTATTATTTCTCACGTTATTTTTCTTTGCGTCACGCATCAACTCTCCTTCAAGGTTGATACTAATCTGTTGTATTTTCAATGACAGATGCGGCTGAGGGTGTAGATAAAAGCCCGCGACAAAAGGAGAAGAAAGAAGGGGACAACGATGAATTTGACATGTTTGCACAGTCGCGCAATGCAACGTATGAGACAACAAAAAATAGGTATATCACATACTAGATTAGATAGGAGTTAAAATTATCTTATGTGATCTTTCTGTGGCTTAGTAAAAAGTACGCACAAAAGACTGCCAAGTTTCTTCCGACATATATTCAATATATATTTATTTATCTCAACGTGTATTTACGTGGACCAATTTTGAAATTAATTTATTCTTACTCAATTATTATTCAATAATAATTTAAGATTTTCAATTGCAGCAGCAGCAAGTATGAGGATAATTTGGAGCAGGTGAGAGGAGGGAGCTTAAGCACGGCAATTCTCAACCGCAATAATCCTAAATTACCTCAACAGACCGCTGCTAGTGCTAGTGTGCGTAACATCATCTCCTTCTTAAACTAATTAGTAGGAAAAAACTCAGTCAGTCATTGAATCTCTTCCAACAAACACAATTTTCGATAATACTCTTTTTCATTAAGTATGATCCAACACAAACATACTTTTACGATTCATCTTGATGCTAATGTTAAGCAGTGCATGCGCCAATGCTCTATGTATCTATAAATTTATGTTGCCGATATCTCTCCATACTTTATTACACACACTAAAAGTGAATTAAAAGCTCTCAAGGTACAGCAATTATTTATGCATCTTGCTTGTGCATGTTAAATATTCGTTACACAACACAATTGTACATCGCTTCTAAAGATACGGAAAGTTTTAATTTTAATTGCGTCACTGTTGATTATGTTACTGTTGGATATTTATTTGCTTCGAACGCATTACAATATCGTTTGCATTCTTTTGTCGTTTTGTTCAATGTTTGTGTTTGTTTTTCTATACTTAGCCGAGTCTGGAATCTGAATTCAATGAAATGGCAGCTTGGTTAGATCGTACAGTAAGTACTTGTACAGGCTTAAATCAATCTTATAAGTACGTATTCGATTTGAGTGAGCCAAATCTTGAAACTCATAACGCACGAGTTTAAGCAATTACAAGTTTTCGTTTTGTTCCCCCCCCCCTTTACAAGAATGTCGGTGTCGAATAACCGTTCGCTTGTGTTATTGCAGCCTGGAGCACAAGGGGATCAAGAATCCTTAACGTCGTCGGAGTTCGAGCGCTTCTTGGCAGAACGTGCAGCCGCGGCTGAAGCTTTACCAACGCTCTCTACAGCCACAACTGCCACGTCGAACACTTCGACTACCGGTAACCAGAACATTCAGCGCCAGATTAACAAAGATCAAGACAAATCTTTATTCGCTCTTTAAGTACCTTGAAACTGTTTGTTGTGAAAAATAGGGGGTTAAACTTACCGGGACTGCCGTGCTACTTTAAACGGCACGCATCTACGATTTTTCCCTCCGAACAAAATCGCGCTCCCGACGTCGTCGACAATTTAAACTATGGATTTGTATTTTTAACATAAGGAGCTGAATAAGATAGAAATGCAAAGACGGTAAAGAGGGAAAAAAAGTACACATACACACACACACACGTGAATAAATGCTTTGTGCTTGTACGTACTTAATAAGGTAACTGATGCTATGCAGTCACGTTTGAGATATCGTTTCGGTTATAAAATTGTGGTCATATACACACGTAATGTAGATAAGTTGCTTTAAAGTTGTTCTCTGAACCATTACTGAATTTGTTTCTTACGTAATAATAGCGTGTTAAGCGTTTAATTTACATTTGTACATAGACGACACCGCGTCCATGGAAATATCCAGATTATGTCGCGACAGGTTTTTTCTTTTCCATTACGATAAAATTTTGCCTCGGAGTCGCGAGTCGAGCGCGTGAGATCCGCCATTGGACGAAATTTTCGGACTGACACGTGGATATCGGGACGAGTATCCAGTTGAATAATCGATCTTATCTACATATTGACAAACTATTTTTCTATGTTGAAGTAAATTTGGTCTCTCAGCTGTTTGACATTCTATATACAGAGATACATTTTGCAGATTTATTATTATTTTTACTATTATAATTCCTACTACTGTAGAGACTTTGTAGAGACTTTACTATTGTAGATTAATATGAATTAGTAGCATGAATTTATTATTACTGCTATTATTACTGCAGTTACGTGTAATAATATTATATAAATGAGTAATATATTCTGAAATTATTATAAACGCAGCAGTAACATTGGTGATTAGAGATTTTTTTTTTATCCTACGTTTGCAGCTTTGAGAGAGGGAGAGAGGGGAACTCTTGTTTCTTTTCTTTTTCGCTTTACTCCTCGGGATTTTATCGATTGCCTCCCCCCAACATTTAGTACCGATGTACTTCCTATCTTATATTTGCTTACGTTTTTACTGTGTATTTACGCATACTTGGTGCAAATAGGTGGCTAAAAGAAACAAGTACACCTGCGGTGCCTGTATTAACTGAACTTGCAGTTGATAAGGAGTTGATCTGTACTCTTCACTTACGCAGAGAAATAAAACTGTGCATCACAACCAAAATGCTCTCTCACGCTTCTTGCGTATTCTTTCGTGTCCCGCGCGTTTTCGAATGTCGAGCGCGGTCGTCCGCGCTGTCTGAAAAACTGTAATCGTATCAAGAGCGATTTTTGTTACGCAAAAGGGGTTCGAGTTTGCAGAAATGAGGAAAGACGTTTCTCGCCAACCGGCGCAGACGGCAGGTAGAGTCTCCGATCTCCAAGCACTCTCTACT